TAAGTTGGATTTAAGCCTAAACTGCAACGAAAATAACTTAAGATCATCAGCAAATAGCAAAAAGTGTGAGTTTTTTATAGCCTTACCTTACATGGTTCATGTCGGTTCAGCAAAAGGTTTTATTTCAGACGCCAGTTTGTTATTTTGTTTTAAATTCATGACTGCAGATTATGACGGTGAAATGAATAGTACAATATTTACTAAACGGATAAGTACACAATTACTTCCATCTTTGATTGTCATGGACAACGCACCCTAATATAGTGAAATCATGAATAAACAACCTTTCGCTAAATGGTTAAAATCATACATTCTAGCTTGTCATTGTCAACATCAGTTAAAACCAGAATTGTTACAACTGGCCAAGATGAATCGACAAGAAAATATATACGTATATTGTAGACGAATTGATGAGTGAAAATGGACACGAAGTGCTTATGATTGCCTCCATATCACCCAGATTTTAATGCTATCGAATTGGTAAGGGCAGATTGCAAAATTTACTATAATACATCTGTTGTCAGAGGTGGATATAGAGATTAACATGTTTTAAGTATGTGGAAGGAAGCAATTCAGAAGTGTGACGATTTCGCCCGGGCAAAGTGTGTATAACATAATAACAAATTAATTGAACAGTAGTTTATTAAAATAGAAAATATGTGTAATATTAATATCGATTCTGTAATAATTAATATTGGAGATAACAGTTCAGATTCTAAAGGTGATGAAAATGAAATATGAGAAACGAAAAATGTATTGAACTTATTGCATCAACACACTGTAAATATTATTGTATATATATATATATATATATATATATATATATATACAATATATATATATATATATACAATATATATATATATATATATATATATATATATATATATATATATATATATATATATATAAAGATTTCTGTTTTTTGAAGTACTGTATGTACTCCATAAAAACAATAAAATTTTACTTTATTTTGTTAAACAACTATTTGCTCCGTGCATGACTGATCTATTGCCTTCGTCTGAGAGTTTTGGACCTCCCAATTTGAGGTAATTGACAATTATTAGTTTTTAATTATATTTTTTCAGTTTATGTACAAAATAAATGTAGTATTTAAAACTGGGTTTCTAAAAATTCATCATAATTTATCTTTGTATATATATATATATATATATATATATATATATATATATATATATTATATTGTATATATATATATATATATATATATATATATATATATATATATATCTTCTTCTTTGAGTACCGTGCCCAAGTTTTAGGCGTGGGTAGCTTCCATGACGATTTGCCGATATCGTTCTCGATCTTGCGCGGCATGTAATAATTCATCTGCTGATAAGCCAGTCCATTGACGAAAGTTTCGGAGCCATGAGTATTTCTTTCTACCAATTCCTCTTCTTCCGTCGATCTTTCCGTTGAGTATCAACTGCATTATCCTGTATCTGCTTCCTCTCATTATATGCCCCAGATATTTGAGTTTTCTCTTTTTTTATCATCTTTATTAAGTCACCTTCACCTTGACCTACTCTGTTCAAGACTTCTCCGTTTGAAATGTGTTGAACCCATGATATTCTGAGCATTCTACAATATAACCACATCTCGAAGGCTTCTAATTTGTTCATCATGTTAACCTTCATAATCCAGGTTTCACATCCATACAGTAAAGGATTCCCCACACCGACGCGAAACTTTTGCGACGCGAAACCGTTGCGGAACATTCGCAGGCGGAGCACTATTAAATTCATTATATATAATATATAATGAAAACTTACCCTTTTCTCCTAGAAATGACCCTATATTATCCCAGACTTTATCCTTTTTTCTTATATTTTTATAATCTTCGTCACTTAAATCATAAATTATAGGATATTGTTTCACAATTTCAATTAGTTTTTCTGTAACAGCCATTTTAATAATTCACGCGAAACTATAACTTGCTATAACTGCAGCGGAAAAAACCGTGCATGCAGCGTTTCATGAAACGTCAACGCTGTTCTGCCGCGACCGTTCCGGTTCCGTCCGAACTTGTCTGAACACATGCATTAAGTCGCCGTGCCTTACGATTCGCCGCGATTCCGCTGCGAAAGTTTCGCGTCGGTTTGGGGAATCCTTAATACAGGATACTCATAACATTTTAGGAACTTAATTCTCAGCTGTAAGTTCAGCTGAGAATTGCTCAGAATAGATCTAAGTTTTATAAATGCTCCTCTTGCAATTTCTATACGAGTTTTAATTTCTTCATCCGAATTTAGTGTCTCGTTTATTCAACATCCTAGATCAGCGGTGCTCAAACAGTCGATCGCGATCGACCGGTCGATCACGACAGCTTCTGGAGTCGATCGCTAAATAATTTAGAATTATTCAGGTCCTCATCGAAATATTCCAGGCTTCTGAGACATTGTACCCGCGCGACGTTTGGCGAATATTACCGATTGTCCTCGAGTGTCGGTTTCTTGATTTTTAAGATCAGTGCCATGCCAAGAATCAACAATTTGTGGATGATAGGTAGTGCCATGCATCTTCAGCGAAAGCAAGTTAGTGATTTAAGAAAATTATTACTTTACAATTTTACATTTATTAGTATTATACTATGCTTGATTAGATGCCTAAATTATGTTTTATATTTAAAAGCATTGTCAGAAATCTACGTATTTTAGTATCTAGACTCTAGTCTAGTTGTAGAAGTCGGTAATCGATCGCTTTCTTTTAAAATATTTTGTGATAGATCACAAACACTACAAGTCTGAACACTCCTGTCCTAGATATTTAAAATGTTTAACTTTTGTTATCGGTTCATTATTGAAAATTAGTTGTATAGCGCCGAAGTCTTATTTAATAACCACAAGTAACTTTGTCTTTGTTGTATTTATGCTTAGTCCCTTATTAGAGCATTATCTAGTGACTCGATAGTCGATCTATAAGGAATTCAAGATCTTCGATACTTTCAGCCATGATTGCGGTGTCATCTGCATATCTGATGTTATTAATAGTTTCTCCCCCGATTGGAACTCCACATTGCCCTTCCAAGGTTTTGTTAAAAATTATTTCTGAGTAAACGTTAAACAAAGTTGGGGACAACACACAACCCTGTCTAACACCTCTTTGAATAAAAATTTTGTCTGTTTCTTTGCTGTCTACCAGAATAAAAGCTTCTTGATTCCAATACAGATGTAAAAGTCTCAGACCTTTATCATCTATTCCAATTATTTATAGATATTCAAACAGCCTACCATGTTGAACCCTATCAAACGATTTCTCAAAATCTATAAAACAGACGTAAACTGTACTTCCCATGATCGTTTATTAAAAGATTACGTTACTTCAATTGTAGCTGCACCAAAATTTTAAAGCAAAACAACAGAATAAGAAACAACCAGAATGCCCACTCTCAAATGCCGCCTTTGAAGTTTTTCAGCACGCGATCGCCATGTTTTAGACGGAAACATAGACTCGAATTGAGAAATTTGTGACAAGCTATGACAGAACTGTAATTTAAATTTTTAGAAATTAATAATTTAGTACATTTGAAATAATTTAATCTATTCTTCAACTAAAAGTACGAATAAAATAGTGCATATTATGTCTGTAGTTGCCGCAAATAAATTTAACTGGGTTAATTTGTCTATGCACACCAGATAAAATGTCACTGAACAGCATTGATTCCATTTAAAACATGGCTGATTCCGTCTCCGCGAACGAGATGCGCGTAGTTATTTTTTCAAGCAGAGTGGACATTCTGATTGTTTATTATTCTGTGGCAAAACCATCGAGCAAAAAGACAATAGAGGGAATGTAAAGGTAGTGGGGGCAAACATATTGTTAGACAGGAAGTGCGATCTTTAGAGGCCACATTAAACAAGGAAAGAGAGTCTCTCTCCTTGTTTGACATCAAATTTAGTTGTGTTATGTTATTGTTTGTCCCAAATGTCACATGAAATCTTATTTATATTGAAGTTTTTTAACAATTGTGTCGCATTTTAGACTCTTATCATTAATAATTAATTAAAACTTTCTCGTCTAAGACACATTCTGCGAAATATTATATAGCTACTGTTGATAAGTGTCGGAAAATTTAAATTTGGCGCATTCGCATTTCCGGATATGTCCGCCATCAGAGGCCACTTTTTTGGTCTCCTTTTAATAAGGATTAGATTCCCTCTTTTGTCTTATTGCTCGATGGGCAAAACCATCGAGCAATAAGACAAAAGAGGGAATGTAAAGGTAGTGGGGGTAAACATATTGATAGACAGGAAGTGCTATTTTGAGAGGCCACTTTAAACAAAGAAAGAGAATCTCTTTCCTTGTTTAAGAAATCAAATTTAGTTGGGTTATGTTATTGTTGATGTTATTGTTTGTCAAAACTGTCACATGAAAGCTTATTTATATTTTCTATTGAAGTTTTTTAACAATTGTTTAACATTTTAGACTATTATCGTTATTAATTAATTAAAACTTTATTGTGTTCTAGTGTTAAAAAAAGTATTTTACTAAATAATTTTAATAAATAAATAGATAAATATATAATATAAAATATTATGTAATATAAAATAAATAAATAGATCAATTAGAACCCCTACACCACTGTATGATTATTGTCAAGTGTCATGAAATTTAAATTTGGCGCATTTGCATTTCCGGATATGTCCGCCATCAGAGGCCACTTTTTTGGTCTCCTTTTCATAACGATTAGATTCCCTCTTTTGTCTTATTGCTCGATGGGCAAAACTAACATTTTACATTCTATTTATTTGATAACGTCAAATTTTATATAATCCGTGATCGGAGCAGTAGCCACTTTCTGTCACTTGCTGTTGCGTGGAATAAATTTCCGACTTATTTCGTATGCTTTAAATGATGATGCATAGGTAAAGAACCATGGACGCAACTGTATAAGGAGCGAATAAGACATCACGTTGAAAAATAAATTAGAAAATAATAATAATTATATTAGCACAACGATAAAATTTAAAACAACTTACTTGGAATGGTAATATTAAAAATTGTGGCAATATTTTTCTGAGCTCTTTCGTTAACCTGATTTGATATTCCCCGTAATCCAACATGTACACCTAAAATACTTTAATCTAGAACGAACATATACGGTTAGATTAGGCGAGACTTACCTGGACGGATCTGTTTCTCTCGTCGCCTGAAAAAAGTAATTCTCGTACTATCGCCCTAGACCATCGCTTCCAGTGGTCCAACCAAACCAAAACTATTTCTCCAAGCGCAGGGTCTATTTTAAAAGTTTCGTACTTTTTAACCGTGTCTACGGCGTTCATTTCCCGATCTAAGTTATGGAATTGCATATCCATAATATATTCTAAAAAATGTTTTAACTGTAGTGATTTAATTAGACGAAAAATGGTATAACAAGAGTAGCGGACTACTATTTTCAATGTTTTCTCTACTTTATCTTACTTTTAAGGATTAAGCAAACCTCATCAGCTTATTTTACATATTCTATGACACACAACTAAAGCTCGTCATCTCACACTTCAGAACTACACTCTGGGCCAAAATTTAACGGCCACCTTAAAAATTGGTAATTTTTGATGTCTTATATCTCCTAAACCTGTTGTTCGATTTAAGTGATTTTTTTTAATATGTTATAGCCTTCCTTGGCAATATCGATATAATAATATGGTTGCTAAACAGGTGAATTTTCATTGTATACCGGGTGTACGACCTGTGTTTTTTTCTTAAAGTTTGCATCACCTTGTGGAATATTCTAGCATTTATAAAATATTGAAATTAAAACCTAACTATAGCCCCATGTTTTCTAAACATTTTGTTTTTTGATTCATTCGGTTATGTTGGATAATACAAAAGTTAGGTAGTTTAACAACTAGCCATGTTTTTCATCAATACAGACGATTTAACTCACCAGCAAAATTAACCCCACCACCTTTATTATTGTTTTGTTTACATTAGCTGTGACAGTTTGTTTCCTAAATTTATGTCATCGAAGGATTTTTGATATAGTCGTTGTACGATATTGTTGCAAATTTGTTTCCAATAACAATTTATTAACTATTTGTAATTAAAATTAACAATTAAAATTGTAATTTTATATCATTGTGGGCGAATATTGTTTAAGTTAAAATTTTGGTGCTTATTGTTTGTGATTTTAAAAATGCCATTCGTTCCAATTGATGCTGCTAGGGTAGTGGCTTTAGTTGATGCTGGTTACAGTCAACGTCATATCGCTGGTATACTCGATGTACCCAGAACTACGGTACAAGATGCCATCAGACGATTTCGGGAGACAGGATCGTACAACCGCAGGCCAGGTCAAGGCCGAAAACTATGCACTTCAGTTTGAGATGACCGCTTCATTGTCGCTAAAGTATTAAGAAATCGCTTCTGCACCGCTACTGAAACTCGTAGGTCTCTTCTTGAGATGAGAAACGTCAGTGTGAGTAGACAAACGATTAGAAGCAGACTGTCAAAAATAAACTTGAGGGCTTTTAGCACTACAATTGCTTCCACAACACCGTAGGGCTAGACTTCATTTTGTGCGAGAATATGTTAACTGAACTATGGCGGAATGGAAGAATATACTGTTCTCAGATGGGAGCAGAAAAGCCCTAAAAGTCCAAATGGACATCAAAGTGTCTATAGGCGTCAAAATGAAAGGTTTGCTGCATGCGCTATAACCGAAACAGTAGCTTACCGAGGAAAGTCAATAATAATTTGGGGAGGTATTTCTTACGAAGCGCGTACTGATCTTGTTGTGATCAATTGAGCATATCTGGGACAGCCTCAAAAAAACGGTAAGAGCAAGAGTACCAGCCCCTCATCCTTTGAAGAGCTGAAGACAGCTGCGGTAGAGGAGTGGCACAATATCCACCAATCTGATATCCAGGATATCATGAATTGATACCCAATTTTTTTTAATTAGACTTTGATTTCCAAAATATTGTTAATTTGAATTTTTTTCGAAGATTTTATTCATTGGATTTTTACTGTAACAAATTACTTTTTTTCAATCTCTTCCGAGGAGATAAAAATTGATAAAAAACATGTCTAGTTGTTAAAGCACCTAACTTTTGTATTATCCAACATAAGCGAATCAATCAAAAAAACAAAATGTTGAGAAAGCATGAGGCTATAGTTACGATTTAATTTCAGTATTCTACAAATGCTAGAATATTCCACAGGGTGATGTAAACTTTAAGAAAATACTCAGTTTGATTCGTACACCCGGTATACAATGAAAATTTACCTGTTTAGCAACAATATTATTATAAAGATATTGCCAAGGAATAACATAAGGAGATAGGAGATATAGGAAATTAAAAATTACCCATTTTTAAGGTGACCGGTTAATTTTGGCCCAGAGTGTAGAACAATAAGAAACACGTGAAAGGATAAAAATAAAGATTACCGTTCAAAGTCAAAACCAATATGGAAATCGCTAGAAAAAGACTCAACAGATTTATTGTTTCTATCATATACAGGCTTGATAAAACAATTTTCTGGAAAACGTCTGGCTGAAACCAAACTACAAATTTCCCAAATAATTGTACAGCAAGAGGTAATGCACTATGAAGAGCAGAAGCAGATAATTCAACTACACCAGAGTTCTCAACCATCCACTTCCAATAGTTGCATGTATGAAATTCTCCTGTTTGTTGTCTTTCCAAATTTATCTTAAAGAGTCCCAATGTTTCTTTTTCTATAAAAAATATTTGGTATTTGGTATAATATTTCCAGACACCTAGTGAATACATAACAAGATGTCTGTCCTTTAATCCTTCTCATCTGCTAAGGCAACCAGCAAGACCAAATCTTCCTCCGATTCTGAAGAATCCATTCCAGACTACGCTGTAGTCGTCGGTTCAATTCAAGCTACTAATCGCAGCAATGTGTTCATGACATGAAAAAACGCTGTTGCTTATATCGCGAGATAAATCATGTCGTCGACGCACCGATTAAATCTCAGCAATCTGTTCATTCCTTGAACTGTTAAAACCCATAACTAAAAGGTGTATTGATAGAGTTCAATTCGTCGGAAATTGAAATAGGTACTGCCTCCTCCTATTGTTTGTAAGTTAACAACTCGTTTCTATAATTACTATATCATGTGGATCGGTTAATAACATCCCTTCTTTTTTTAGACTTACGATTTGTTGGTAAGTATGCTGTCCTGTTATTTTTTGAACTTTTTCCCAACCGATAATTGTTGTTTGCTTTTTTTTATTATTCTCCTAGCATCAGCTCTACATTTTTTTGTACTCTGTTAATAGATCAATATGTGTGTACTTTTTGTATCGTTTCCAAATTGTTTTGCTTAATTGAATAGCGGCCTCACATTGTGTATTCCACCAGGGAACTGGTTTGTGTTTCTTTAAAAGTTGAGATTTTCCTATGGCCATATAAGCAGCATTTAGTACAAGATGATTAAAGCTCGTGAGTGTATCGTCAATCGACTCTGAAATTTTAATCTGATTCATTCTCTCCGATATAGTTTTTTAAAATTAAATCCAATTTTCCTTTTTTAGTTTCCATTTTTGAGTTGGTATCGTATTCGTATTTAAATTAACTGTATGTCTTATTAAGATTGGGAAGATCCGTCGTTGAGTAGGCATAGAATCATAATGTTAAAAAAGTTATCTATATACATATTCCCCCTCTTTGTTGTTTTATTTGACCCCATGTAATGTTATGGCCATTAAATTCTCCCGTAATCATTCGACGTGAGCGAATTTGTTGGAGAAGATTAAATAATTCGGGTTGAGTTAGAGTTTCGTCTTGAGAAACATAAATGCTACAAATATTGAAGTTTAGTGGGACCAATACTTTTATAGAGACTGCTTCGATATTAGTTATGAGGTTCCAATTCCATTGTAATATACTATTGAAAATGATTTATGATTTAGTTGAAACACATGACTCACTATCGGGTTTAGATGTTTCACGTTCTAATAAGTTTTTCTAGTCTTCGGCGTAGTCGTGTGATTCGTTTTTTTTTTAATGTTGAGTCTTTAAAATGAGTATGAGTGTCAACAAGCATTTATTATAGACATCTTTAGCTCCGTATGTCTCATTTAATAAATCCCGAAATTGATCGTAGTTAAGACATACGATTTTGAACGTGTATTAATAAATCTTTTAGTAGCTTCTTCGGTTTCTATTGTTGTTGTTGATTATTGTCTATTGTTGTTGATAAAAAACCAGTCCGGTATTGTGTTGATGATGATTTTATTTAGAACGATTTCCAAAATAAATATATTATTTCACTCTAATTAATATTCTTTTACTCGCGTTTTTACGTCTTCTTATAGCACTAACTTTAATAAACAGGTATATAACTTTTGTTAATTTACTATGGTGAAAATACTAGTATAAAATTGCGAATTTATCGGAGCTTAAATTAAACACACTGTGGTTCGAAAATCAGATCCGGTCTCTATTTTTAATTTAATTAATAATAATTAATTCTTTAATAATAATTAATTATGCTGCTCATAATGTATATGCATGATTTTTATATCAGACTAAAAGTTAATTTTTTCTTAATAGATATGATGATATAAGGTTGCCTGAGAAAAACTGATCGCAAATTAAGGTTGCCAGTGTTAAAAACGCGAGGTATCAAAGATAAAGTAAAAGACTGCTAACACGCAACGATACTGATTTAAACTGTCAGTTGTGTGATTTTTAAAGCATGCGTAGATAGATATATTATAATATAAATATTATCTCTTGGCAAACCAGTGTCAAATTTTACAGAATGATCAACTTTTGTGATTATTTCGTTATTATAGGTGTTACCAGAAAAAAGTTTATTAACAAAAACAGAAGATAGCTGTATTCCTATTTTAAAATTATATATATATATATATATATATATATATATATATATATATATATATATATACAGCACTACAGGCCCGGTAATTCCTTGCCTTCGATAGTCTTGACTAGTTTTTCCACTTTTACGGTCCTTCACTTGCTCTTTCCTGTCTCTTATTCCCATTTATGTATGTCAGTCCAAACGTCATCAAACCACTTCCTTTATTTTTTCTCTTGTTCTCCTGCTTACAGAACTCTTCGCATGTTTCTTTCTTTTGACATTCCCAATGTCCCAACCATCTAACTCTAAAATAACTTTTTGAAATGACTAATTTTAAAAGATAAACCTTATAGGTAGCTCCTAAATTTTTTTGTATCTTCTGTATTAACAAATATAACGGACTTAATCACAAAAATTGATCATATTGCATATAAATGATCGAATTTACTTACTTCCTGTGTTGTATGGGTTATTAATAATCTGGGCATAGAATCTGCACACTGAAATATTCCCCGTAATAAGTATCGTAACGTTGGAATTCATGATGGGAAGAATTAATGGGCACATAGCTCTAGTATAAACTACATCTTGGTCTGTTGTAAATCCATCTGAAATGAATACAATTACATTGAGCCATCGAAAAAAAAATCGTAGAGCGTCTTGGAATAAGCCGTTCTTTTTTTGAATTTTCAGACATAATTATTTTATTTCTTTATGTAAAATAAAATGGACATAACCACGTTTAAGTCCTTTTTGTTACTTTTGTAACAATTATAGAAGACTTATTTGTCAGTAATGTAACAAAATTCATACAAGGTTCTTCAAATTTAAATCTCATTTCTCAGATTTTCTCTGAGAGTACATATACGAAATGAGGACGTGCGAATGAGGACAAAGGTGGATCATGCAATTCTAAGAATTGCGCAAATGAAAAGATAGGACAAGTGACACGACAATAAAACGAAAGATGAACGAGAGCACACGAACATAGTCGTAGTATAGGAAAACCACAAAAACGGTGGGTAGACGACATCAAAGTAAAAGTGGGGAGAAACCGGCATCAAATAGCACAAAACAGAGAAGAGTGGAGAACTCATGTGGAAGTCTTTGTCCAGGGAGTGGATGCAAACAGACTGAAAAGAAAAGAAGAATACTATCTTATAGAATGTATTTACTTGAATTATAATAAAGTTAATTCGAAACCAACAAAACGGTAAAACGTATGTGTAGGGCATTTACGAAAACAGACTGAAAAATTCTACTAAAAAAAATGTTCGGAACATACCTTAGTTCTAGTAGGTGTGCGAAACTGCCTTTTAGCCTCATTTATGAAGGGTTCCTCCTATCTACCAGCTAAAAATCGTCCTCCTCGACTAAGAAATCATCCACATCGCTTTAATTGGGGCATAACGTCAACATGAAATTTATATTCCTTCTCAATCACCTAATATTCTCTCGCATTCCTGTTTTTCGATATAGACACTTTCTCATCTTCCTAATTAAGCCTATATCCGGCCGGATCGTCTGACTTCCTGTTCTTTTTCCTTTAGCGTTTCCATAAAATATCGCTGAAGTAATTTCCTCCGATCCGTTAACATTTCCTTCACCAGTTTTGTGATTGGTTTTAGCCTGCCTACTTTCTCACTCTCTCTCTCTCTCTCTCAAGCAGGCTCCTCCCTATCACATACCAATAAAGTGTTCGACATTTCGCCGTACAAGCATTTGTCATTTTCCGAATCTGTAAAGGTATGCCCTGAAACAGCCATGTTCTGTGAGCACCTGAGTCAGGTAGTAATCTAAACGCCGGTGTGCGCACTCTTGTCTATTGTGCCACCCTCCCCATCCGATTGCCGCACTAGAAGTGGACCTTTCTCTTGTTTTTTCTTCCCGTGTTTATTTCTTCTTTCTCATTATTTCCCCAATACGTTCAACTGAATATACCCGGTGATAACTGCCAGAGTCTCGACAGACACCTCTCTGTATTTATATCCCACTCTCATAAGACTCTTCCTACATGCTGTGATAAGGTGTCTTCTGTAAAACTTTGTTGAAACTGCTATAGCTTAGACAGCTTTCATGTAGAACGGAAGAATGATCTTACCTCATTCATGATTTCACCCAGTCTACTTAATTCTCCGCTGTACAATTCAACAGTATGACCAAATGAAATTTGTGAAATTCCGAAACATGGATAATCAAATTCCACTACGCTTAAACTGTCTATGTCAACGCCTGGTGTTTGTCAATATGAACCAAGAAGGTGCGTTTGTTTTGGTTTGTTTACATATAATAAAATTATTATTCTTATTTTATTGTTTTGGTCTCCAAATTCGTTTATTGAAGTCCCCAAGTATTTGTAACTTGAGACTTTTTCAATTTGAATGCCGTTTACACTAATATGTGCTAGTTGTGTCATGGTTTTACTGAAGACCATATACTTGGTTTTTTTGATATTGATATTTATGCCATAAATGTTGCTTGCTGTAAGTAATCGTTGTAATTCCTCTACTGTTCTTACAACTAGTACAGTGTCATCTGCGTATCGAATATTATTTACAACCTCTTCATTGATTACGATTCCTTCGTTTGCTTGCAAAAGGGTTTCCTGGCAGATGCTTTCACTATAAAAATTTTCACAAAATTGTGAAAATGTAATCAATGACATAATACCAATGATAAAATGCCAGGTTCAATCAAAATTACCTTGGTTTGATTATGAGGTGTTTAAACAAATTAAACAATGTTATAGGGCTTATAAAGATTTTAAAAAATGTATTGATGTCATTGAATAACAACATAAGCAGGTTTTTAAAAGACATAGAAATGAGGTAGTAAATATGTTAAAGCTAAAAAAGCTCGGTTCTATTTTTAAAAAATAGACAGGTATAGAAACAATCCAAAAAAATGTGAAAAACTTTTAAAAAATTAATCAACAATAATAGTCGAGAAATGCCAAACACTGTAAACTTTTAAACTACTACTGGCCTAAAACGGTTAACAAATAGAGTAGAAATAGCTAGCAGTTTTAATGAGTATTTTGTTGAGAGCAGTGAAAGTATTGTTCAAAGTTCAAAGTATTGATAGTTCTAACATGGTGTAATGTAAACAGTAATCTATATTTAAATTTTGAAAAATTTGAAACGCTTTCTATGCAGGATTTGCGAAAAATTGTTGGCAATTTAGATAATAAATTCTCTCTACATGAAACGTTAAATTTCAGAATGGTAAAGGAAGTTTTTGAAACCATTGGGCACGTTATGTTAAATATAATTAATACATCTCTTACTACTTGTAGAATTCCTGATGTATTAAAAATAAGTACTATCACCCCTATTCAAAAAATACCCAACACTATCAAAGCTGAAGAATTCCGCAATCATAACTTTACCTCCTATAATAGAGAAAATATTAGAAATTGCTGTTTATGAACAATTATTACAACATGTACCAAAAAATAAAATTTTAATTAATAATCAATCAGGTTTTCGAAAACAATTCTCTTGTGAATCAGCGTTACAAGTTACATTATGTCACATAAAGTGTAATTTAGATTAAAATCAGTACGTATATATAGTCCCAAGATTCCTAAGAGGAACATAGGGCTTCCACAAAGTGTCTCCAGCGAACTCTATTTCTGGCTAGTGCTTTGATTTCAAGCCAGGATTTTCCCATTTTTCTCCCTTCGTCCAATACTGTCCTTCTCCAAGTTCCCTTAGGTCTGCCTACTTTCCGTCGGCCTTGGGGATTCCAATCCAGCGCTGTCCTGGCAATGTCATTGCTGTGGCCCAGCCATCTCCATTTTCTTCGCCTTATTTGCTTTATGACATTTAAGAAAATGTCATAAAGCAAATAAAATAAGTACGTAGTCGGTGTATTTCTTGATTTAAAAAGAGCTTTTGAAACCATTGACAGGACAATAATGATTTCTAAACTTAAACAGTATGGTATAGGAGGTACAGTAATTGCGTGGTTAGAAAATTATTTACAAGATCGCAAATAGAAAGTTCGATTTAAAGACCAATTTTCATCTGAAATGAAATACAGGGATTCCTCAAGGTAGTGTATTAGGCCCCCTTTCATTTATTCTGTACATTAACGATATCGATATTTTTGTAATTTGTGAATTTATTAATCTGTTTGCCGATGATACTATAATCTGTTGTAGTGATGAAAATTTTGATTTAGCTATTCAAAAAATGAACGTTCATAAAAAAATATCAAAAAAACTTTACTTTCTGAGTAGAATATCTCAAAACTTATCAATGGAAACAAACATAACAGTATATAACACAATTATTGAAGCTCATTTTGATTATTGCTCATCAATTTTATATTTATTTAACCTTAACAAACTTAACAGGCTACAAAAATTACAGAACCGTGGAATGAGAATAATTCTTAAAACAAATCGTCGTACCCCAATTGGGACGATGTTAAATACTCTAAATTGGTTCTCTGTTGAAAATAGACTGTTTTATTTCACCATGATTTTGGTGCTCAAAATAGTAAATTGCTTATCACCTGAATATTTTCAAGAATTCATTTCTTTCAACAAAAGTATTCATTCTTATAATACCCGAGGTTTAGATGACATATATGTACCTAGAACTATGTATAAAAGTACAATGAATTCGCTCTTTTTTAAAAGCTTCGTTAAATTTAATCAGTTACAAACATCTGCAAAAAAATGTACTAGTCTCAATAATTTCCAACTGTTACTTAAACAATAGCTCAGCAATAGTCGGTCAGATAGCTCAGCGGGCTGTGCGGCTGCCTCTCATTCGCTTCACTGTCGAATGGTTTAGTGGATGTGGGATCGAGCCCAAGCTCGGTGTACAGAAAACAAAAAGTCTAACGCAGCAGTTTAAAATTCTAGATGAATCTGCGGCTTAGACTAAGATATGCTGGGATCTGATCGGCCTATGGTGGAGCAGTACGGCAAGAGATAAGGGCTTGCGGCTTGGTGATACTCCTCCATAGATCCCTACCGGACAGGCGTAACGCCTAAAAAACCGGATATATATATATATATATATATATATATATATATATATATATACTTAAACAATATATCAAAAATGTATAGTGTACTTTCTTTATATTGTATGTATTGTACCGTTTTTAAATAAAACGAGCGGTTCGAATTTATATAAATATATTTATTTATAACTTTACAGTTCGATACTATCTTATAAACTAAACTTAACTCCTAACTCCGTTACATATATATACCAAAGTATTATGTTCGAGAATATTCGAGACTAGTCCCACCTCTAATTCGTTATTATATGGGTGGAATTTTACAGCGCTCGAAATATCGCCGAAACTCTCGGTGCTTCGAGATGCGACCGTTAGGTAATCCACGCTAAATGTATGTTCGTAACACTGCTCCCCTCTTAGATCTGAGCGTCCCGATCAGGAACTCTATCTATAGGCCCAGGATGGCGGAATCTACAGGACTCTCCAGCTCTGCATGAACCCCTCAGAAAGAAATAACAGTCTACTGTCTTTGAAAGACACGATCTCTTCGGATTAATGCAACACACAGTAATTCTTACACCGGTTTCTCGGAAGATCACTTCAAGCATGCTTCTGACAATCTTCCAAT